AGCCACTGACTAAAGACAGCATCTGTATGTGTCTTAATACACTCACTTCAGTCTTGTCAGATTGAGCCAAATCTTCCAATTTTTTAGCCCTTGTCAACCATATCCTAATGATACATTCATTAGGAACACATATGACTGTTGAGGCCAGTTGGTTACAGCTTCTGCCCGAGAACCTTGATGTTCCCTGAATGCAAGGGAATAGCTTGGGCACAGTTCAGCCACAATAGATCTGAAGTGAAAGCAAGTAGCTTACAGAAACATTAGAGAAAAGGGAGGTAGTGACTTTAATCTGTGTGGCTCTGTATCTTAAAGCTTCGTCCTAATAACCCTCAGCGGAAAAACATTCCCAGTATTAAGAATGAAGTATTTAATTTGATGTGAGGAAGAAAAAAACGTCACATTACTTCTCACATAGATTTTACCCCGTGTTAACACTGACAGCTGCCTTCAGCTTAACTAATTTTCTTCAGGCAAAAGTTCTACATATTGCACATATTAACTAGCCAAGCTTTGGGAATTCTTTCAAAACGTAATAGGTAAATGCTTCAATTATGTAACTATATGAACAGGTTCACATATGCAGCTGCTAAAAGGCTCCCCCCCGCAAAAAAAAAAAACCAACCACCGAACAACCCCAAAACAGTCTGTAGTTCATACTTTAAATTATTAGAGGACTGAAGAGAGTCGAGAATTAGTATAGCTATACTAAAATGAAGGTGATGGTCAAATGGCATCTATTATTCAACGATCGGTTGGTTCCACATTCTTTTACTCATGTATTTCATCCTTATCATCTTATCTACAGTAACTGCACTTTGGATTTCTGACACATTTGTGTGCTTTATTATATATAATAAAAGTCAAACAGACTGTAATCATCTGTTGATTAGAAAGAACAGCTGCAACCACCACTAAGATGGACAACTAGAGCCATTCTGTGCACCGGGAGAGAGAGAATTTGACACAGGTTACTAACGTAAGAAAGATTCATTTTTTCTCTTTTCCTATTGGAGCATTACAACACGAGACTGCCAAGTACAACCCGCTCACAACAGCAGACTACTTGTTAAAGGCAACTGTAGCATCCACCTGTCACAGAGGAATTTATCCCAAAGCTTTTATCACCGCACGTTCTCAGAGACAAAAAAGCAACAATTTTGGACAACAAGCAATAATTGAGCAAAAAACCAGTCCCTCCTGGTCAAGGAGAGTTATAGCCTCTCCCTGATGATAGGAGCTGTCAGGCACAGAAGTCTAATGGCCTCATGATTAAAACAGCATTGAGGGGCTAGCATCATGGAAATAATGACCTGTCATATCAGCTATCATATCAGCAGGAGAAAAGCTGCTTCTTTTCTTCATCAGAAAGGGTGGACACAGAGAATGTAAATCCACTAGGCCTCTGTTAGCTAAAAATTCACTTATGTAAGGAAAATTCACTGCCAGTTCTATCATCTGAACAGTACTGCACAAAACAGCCAGGAGATTGCATCCTTTTTCATTTGTTTGGTTTGCTGGGGGATTTTTTTGTTTGTAACCTTTTTCATTTGCAAGTCACAACTGAAAGCAAAGTGTACAAGGCTAAAATTTCTGCAATATTGCAGAGAATTATATATCCATATTATCATCCAAGTAACCTAAAGCTCTTCTGAGATACATGTATGGATCTAGTTTCTGTGCAAATCGAAGTTTGTGTTCACTTTGGATAGGACACAATGAGATTCTCAACATTTTGCCCAGAGAAAGGATGCAGTGCAGATGAAGTACAACTATTGTTAAAAAAAATCATTAGCCCTATTTTAAGCAATGCAGAGATGAACTGCAGAAATTTCAAGCACATCACAATTATAAAACCAGGACAAAAAACACCCGGAGAAATAGAGGCAAAATATCACAAGTGTATTCTAAAAAACATACAATTTCAAATTTGTTTCCAAAACATACAGAACACAGCAATCACGCTTAAGACTGGTGAGAATAAGCACAACAGTTAGGACTATGTATGTTAATGCTGTTCCAGGTGAGGCTAGGTCAGGATGGCTGGTCATAAACACAGAATTAGCTGTAATGCAAATGCTCTACCTTAGTAAATACTGTAAGTTGAATTGCAAGTAAAAATGGAGTGGAAGAAAAGCCATGCAGGATCACCCTGATTCAGATTCAGGAAAGTATTTAAAGTGGAGACTAAACTGGTACCTTCAATGTGTCTGTAAAATGTGATATTCATTCTAGATGAAAAGTCCTCACAGAATAACTTGAAATGTCAGAACTGACTTTGCAGAAATCTAAGCGTGGAGGTCACATCAGCCAAATACAGGCAAAAACTTGCCACATATTCAGGATACATCTAGAACATTTCTTATTCACCACTACTGTGGTTTTCCTGTTATAGAACTATGTTAAACAAAAAACTCTTATATATCTGGATATGCTTTTATTTTCCTCCTATGAGTGAGCAATATTTGAATTAATATGAGATTTAAAAGCTGCTAATTATCTTAAACTAACATAGCCCAGCATATTCTCCCATTGGCCCAGTGAGCTGACACTACAGGGTATTGTGACAAACTGTGACAATGACCACTGTAGGTAATTCATGAGGTCCTCTCATGCACTATAGTTTCTATGAGTTTCTGTGAGTTCTAGATATCCTGTTTCTATAATTTCTATGAGTTCTAGATATCCTGGTAAAAACTGTACGCTGTTGCATGGAAAGTCTAACAGGCTCTAGTTTTTACCTAGTTTCAGTCACAGGTCAGAACTAAAGGGTCAGGTCACTATAAGGTATAGAGTTATAATACACTAAATTTCGTGTCATGTTCTATTCTGTCGTTTCTCATATACACTTGACTTTAGAGAAACTGTTGAGTACTCAACAGCAACAATACTGATTTATGTGTTTCAAGATGGCAGAAACACGGTGAAGTAACAAATAGTATGGGATGCAGCCATTAAAACCCTTTAGCTTTTCTACAGAAGGTACCGGAAAAAGAATTAAATAATTTTATTAGGAACTATAAGGGATAAGAGAAGCAAGACATTACTTATAAAGAGATATTACTCTGATAACTGGTAACTTACTTGGCCTGTGTAGAATTGTTTTACATCGTTAAACTCTCTGTGTTTTAGTTATTTCCTCAACCTGTCAATTATTTATACTCCCTTCACATCAAACATGGTACACTTTCTGTTTCTTTACCGAGTTTGTTAATGAATTTAAATTTCATAGGAAGCCTAGCTATGTTTTTTCTTTTGGTTAAAAACAACAATATAACTCTCTTTTTCAGAGGGTTATATCTTCCAAGCCAAAAAGCCCAGCGTGTCCTCAAAAGTGCACATATCGGGAATTGCATTCATACAACTTCCTGGTATCCCTGCACAAATATGAGCACGATAAGATTACGGCCGAGTGAAGGTTATGAGTGACTTATTACTGTTTCTTAATGTGACCAATAGTTTTGTATTCAGCACATTGTTTACTTAAAATAAATGTACTCCCATTAAAATACTGTTCTAGTTATAATATTAAAAATATTTTAACTTATCTTACTTTTTTCTTTGCAAGTGGACGAATGAGTCGCCCTACCTGGATTTTCTTTCACTTGCCACTTCACTCTGCCATATGCAAAGAAAAGAAAAAGCAAGCTAAGTTTTCATTTAAAGAAAAGATTTATTGTGCAAAGGGAGTGCACTCATCTGAGCAAACATATGTTTATAGCACTTAGTATTTTAATCATGTTTGACATGGCCTTGACAATTACTCCCTTCAAAATTATGAAAGAAAGATATCTGTCCATTTGTTATGAACCTCAGCTCCCAAATTAAGGATAAGTGCAAAAGTAACCTCTAAGAAATTAAAATTTGTTATCAAAAGTTGATTCAAGGTATAAAAACAACTGAATATCAGTTAATTAGAAAAACTGAAAGCAAGAATCAAATTCATTGTGTATAAAAGGTACTCAAAAATAAAACCCCAAACAGAAAAACAAAACAAAACAAAACATCTACTTTGAAGAAAACATCTTGTGTGAAGTACCTCTCCAGGAAAACATCAAAGGAGGATATGACTTTCAAATGACATATTTTATCTGTTAATTTACTAAAAAGAGTCCAGACAACATGCCACTATTCACACACTGGGGTTCTTCACAATGTGTTGCTACGATGGCAGACAGATACCGGATACAAGAGTTTAGGAACTCTCCCTTCCTACCCACCCTCAGGAAGCACACATAATGTCAGCCCCTACTGCCTCACAAAATATCCAAAACGTGATCAGTCAGATGGCTTGGTTCAGAACTACATCCATCCCAATGTCTGTTATGTCACAGTCGTATCTCTCCCAAGCTACAAAGCCTTCAGCTGCAAATCTTAGGAAGGAAATACAGATTCCACAGGTCCTACAGAAACCTGTGCCACTGATTGAGCAGGAAGAATACCTATTAAAGTTGGCAAAATAACAATACCATTAAGGAATGTCAATTAACGTAATATTGTAAGTGCTGTTTTTGATAGAAAACTGAGGACTTGACCGTTAAAGGCCATTAAAATACTATGCAGCAGGGTGAAGGGTTTTTTTGAACAGGGATGTTGTACTTTATGTTGTGATCTGAATTCCACTTCAGGTAACTTGCTTACCCAAATTTTCTCTGTAAAAATTAGACATTCATTCCTCTAACATTCTGTCAAGACTTTTTTCCCAGGTGTTAAAACATTTATTTGAGAGAGATATTAAATATTTCACATTTTTGTATCACAACGTATCTGTGGCCCAGATACTGAATGCAGAAGGAAAATGGGGGGACCCCAAAGCTTTCAAGCATGAAATCCTTCTCTAGCACTGCATAAGAAAATCATAACGTAATCATTTAAAAGATGCATTTCATAAATACATTGACATGCAGGCGTCACATTTTTGCAAAACCCGAGCAACACAAGTACTTGTTCCATCCCCCACACCTCCCTTCAGATTTTTCTAAGTTAAAGTACAAGTAACTTACTTGCAAATGTCATCTTCTGGGTCCTCAAGCCCAAATCTTTCATCAAAAGTAAGCTGTATCCACACATTTTCATCTACTGCTACTAATCTCCACACTAGTACAGTATTGCGTGGATATGTGTGCGGAAACTTGGGGCTGTGAATACTTCCATTAGTAGTCACAGTAATTATCTTCTCATGCTGAGGATCCTGCACGCCTATAGTAAAGAGAGAAAACAGAGGCATCAGTACTTACTTCTCCTTTTCCTAAAGTGTTTGTATAGTATGCCCAGATAAAGACACTTTTATTCTGTTTGCTTTTCTTCACCTTGCAAGGAATTTATGCTTGGAAAATCTACATAGTAACAACAACCCAAAAGTCTAAGTATTACTTTGCTGGCAAAAAGTTATTCAAACCCAAGCCTCAGGGGCTGCTCAGAAAGCAGAACAGAAGTTCAAGTGGAGAAACGAGAAATGTGACTGCAAACACTTGAATGCCAGACTGGCCTCCTCACAGAAGCCCAGCAGTCCAAGGGACTACATCGTGCAGCCTGCTGATGGTTTCAGTTCGTTATCACTGGAGAGTGCACAGAGACTGCATGAGGGTACAAGGAGAGGTCTGCTCACACCTACCACAGAAGGGATGGGTTAAATCTCTTTCTCATTAAAGAAGACTATCCTACATTTATTGAGTCCAGTGATAGGGATTTTGATGGCTGCATCCTTCCTGAGGGCTGTATCAGAACAAAGTTATCCCAATACAGGAATGAAACTGGGACTTGCTTGGGAAACTTGGGGAAGTCACCAAGTGTAAGAAATTAGGCATTTACTGACAAGCCTCAATTGAGGGCATTCCTCAAAATTATTCACAGCATTGTTAGACTAAGCACATGTAAAATCTAATGAGTGTTTTACAATGCAGCAGCAAATGAATTCAAAAGAAATAAGCCAACTGCATTTGATTTTTAAAGCATGCCGTAACACTGAAACTACTGAAAAGACTTCTTCAGGTTATGAATTCATAACTGCAAGGAATTACCAAAACAAAAGGTTTGACTCCTTCAGTGAGCAGCAGGTGTGCCTTTCAGAGCCCCAACAACTCTCTTCACAGTAACTCAAGAAACCTCATTCTCAAGTGGCCAATATTCACAGGAATTCACATTCAGTAGCTGCAATCAGCTCATACTGGGTATTCAGCTGCAAAAAACCAAGCACTGACCTAATCTGGATACATTTTAACACTGCGACGTACAAGGATGAGATCTCTGAACTGCAAAACTTAATTCCATCATATGAAAAAACCCTCCTTATGCTATAGCACGTGACTTCTACTATCTTTGGCTTTTTCTAAAAAAACTGTATACAGTCAGGTTTGACATTTCAGTCAGTAAATCACAGGAATTCTCAGTTACCTATTAATAACAAATTTCTAGTAACAAAATAAGCTTGTAGTTTTGTACTGGAGAGTTAGTAATATTATTTTGTTTTCAGCTATTCATTGTCTCTTGCAGTTAGCTACTTTATCTTATTTTTTCTGATTGTTTTATAACCAGCATTATGATGAATATTTATTTGAAGGTATGTAAGACATATGATTCAGTCTGCAATGAAAACATGCACTGCAATAATTGTACCTTATTATAGCTACATATAAAGGCTGACAGCTAAATGAATGTACTGCAAGAAAAGAAGGGCATAGAAACAGCATTGCTATTTAAAAAGAATCAATCTATACTTAAATGTAATTTAAAGTCTGACGGACTCTTGCCTTCTATTCTGATGGACTGGTGCCTTCTACTTGTGGTACAAAAATGGTAAATTTTCTTTTAAGTGGAATTGTTGCTTATATAAAGCTGATGGAGTGCGGTCTTGCCTTGCAGAGGACTGACTGTCTTGTCTACAAATAAGACAGGACATCATGCAGCAATCAGTAAAAAAAGCACAAAAAAGGCAGAAGAAACAGATTCCTAATTTAGACACTTCATTGGGCTTTTGTTAGCTGAGTCACAAGCATTTTTCTATAATGTATAGCATGTCAGCTGAGAGCTGCACACTAAACACGGGAGCCAACAATAATAAAAATTACTTTCCCAGAGATTAGTACACCAGAGTGCTATTTCCAAAGTATGCAAAGGACCACCATTTCAGACAAACAACATGTGGTGTCTGATGACACTATAGTCAGTGGTTCGTTTTTTCTTTAAAAGCACACACAGGATTACAAACCATGTTATATTTCACAGCACATTAAGGAAGTGTTTTCTTTTGTGTCATCAGGACAATGATAACAACAGCAAGTAAGGACTGTAAATAGTCCAGGCATATCAAATGGGAAGTCAATAAAAAGAGGGAAAGGAAAGAAAAGGCACATGGCAATTAAGCGAACAGAAGTTGCGGCATCTCCGGTATCTTCAGCTCCTCCATTTGTAGAGCAAAAAATCTATTTACTTTAGCACACAACAGTGTTCCATGAATATATCAAATTCCCACACACAACACTTGCTCCATTTCAAATATTTGCTCTCGCACAGTGGAATTTCTTCTCTTACAAAAGAATTATTTTGTATGACTACAAAGGCAAGTAATTGCTGTCACTAGAGAATGAAGCTTGCTATTTGTCTTCAGATAAGCTGCAATATTCCTTTTCATCCATTCTACATAAATCGTACCATTGTACCACAAAAAGCTAGCCTTTTCCTACTGAGTTCATGCATGTTCTGAACATTTCTTTTGAGGAAATTCTGTGAAGAGCACAGCTACCTGACCACGGCTAAGATGAGACTATAGTCTCTATTCTTTGTGGAATGACTTTGCAGTTCCTGTCTTTATTTTAGGGATAAATCAGTCCAAATTACACTTAAAAGGGAGTAACAAGTTCAGTCAGATTTACAGCAGTCAGCTGTGTAACTCCAAAGCTACGTACATTGCTGCCATGATCTGCCTGCCTTTCTATTAACAACCAACCTCCCCACTCCCCCCCCCCCCCCAAAAAAAAAAAGAAGAAGAAGAAAAAATTATTATTACTGTACAGACAGCATTCAACAACCCTGAAGAATCAGTTTAGGCAAGGACTGAGGTAGGCAAGGAACCATCCGCTGTGGTTCAGGCTGGGCTGGCCACCAAAATGAATGACAGATGCTCTCTTAACTTCTCTCCAACCGAGAGAAGAATGAGAAAAAGAGAGACCTATGAGTTTAAAAGAAACTAAACTACTTTAATGAAATATTAGTAATAAAATAATAAAAAGGAAAGATAATAACAGCAATATGAAAATAATTACATTGATACAATATCTACAAAACCTCCTCAGACGTCAGCCATTGAAGAAAGAGGGCTGACCCTTTGATCCCTCAGCTTTTACATTGAGCATGAGGCAGATGGGATGGAATACCCTGTTGGTCAGTTTTAGGTCACCTGTCCCGTCCACTCCTCCCCGCAGGTGGGACCCCACTGTGCTTTTCTGCTTCCGACCCTCCAACGGGGCAAGTAACAAAGTTACCTGCCCTTGGCTGGTATGGCAATAAGTATAAGGAAGAGCCTCTCTGCACACCATGCCTTGGTATTAATTATAAACAAGGCCTTATCGCTCTGGAAGCAGATACTGTCTGAAAAATATGCTATTAACTTCAGAGAGTTCAGTTATTTAGAAGAGGCCTAGCTGAAAAGTAAAATTACTGAACAGAAAATTGGTTCTGTTTTACCTCGAGCCAGGACGCCATCTCAGCAAGGGGGCAACAATACCACACGAGGGAAATGGAGAGAGACAGGGACGAAAACAACATATTTGCATCTTTAGTAAAAAGCTGCATCAGAAGATGGGCAACTGAGATCACCTGCAGGAGAAAGTCCTGGAAACGGGGCACACTAGATGGGAAAAATCGCTAAGCTGACCCAGGGATATGACACGGTTATGCTTATTAGGAAAGGACAGCACACACTTAGCAGAGCCTGAGGTTGAAGAATGAGTTGCCGCAGTCGTCTTTGATGTGGTACAAGATGCTATCACCAGATTTATATATCTATCAATGTAGAAAGTCTGCCCCTGAAAATTACAAGATTCCAGGCATTCTGAAAGCACGGCAGTGCCTAACCCTTCCACCGACATGGCAATGCAGATGAAAAACCACGGTATCACCAAACAGATCAGCAGATGCCACTGTAAACTGAAATTAAACCCACCGACTAGACAAGCTCATTCCTGCCTACTTCAAAGTAGGTCTCTTCCCCCATGGGCACAACACATTTCACAAAGATCAGCGCTGACACTTTTTAAATATAGCAAATACCTCTTTCTTAGTACATTGTAATCACTACATTTTAGCGAGGGTCACAGGTAAAACTCAAACAAATCGCATACAGTTCAGGAGACAGATGAGGAGCTGCAGGAGAAGAGAGGAGCACCACAGATGGAGTAACGGCATCAGCACAGATTCACTTAAGGGCTGATCCACTTAAGAACAGTACTGATAAAATTGTTTTTTAAAAGTTTTTGCTAAACCTACACTAATTTCACAACAGGACAAGATGAGAATACTGCTAATCATGCACTGTTAATATATTATTTGATGTATTTCATTCAATAGACCTTAATTATGAAAATCAACTTTTAGGCCTTCAGAAACAGCATTAGCTCATTTATAGCTATCATTCTGTTAAAAAAAAAAAAAAAGCCAAATTCAAACATAAGATTCAACTCTAAATATTTAACAATTAGTATTAGAGCTTTCTCAGATATACAATAATGTTGCAGTATGTGAGTCCTCTGCTTTAAAACTCAGAAACAAAAGATGACAGTAACTACTTGTTCGTTACCACAGAACTTCAGAGGGAAGCAGGTTTTTTTCATTAAAGTAATCGAAGGGATTTCCTGACAGCATTCCCATATAATTTTTACAACACTCCACATATGTAGAGAAACCGAGACTTTGTAGAAGAAATTCTTTGAAATGTAACATAACATGCCGTTTCTTCCTCTTTCACCAGACTTTCAAAAAGCAGTAAGCCTACTTTCAACAGTAGTAACTCAAGGCATACAGAGGTACCCCTTTCTGTCCTGTCTCTGGTTCAGTTGCCTCCAGGCACTTCTTAGCTATTATCTGAATGTAACAGACGAAATTTAACTCTTTTGTTGGGTACAACAGGAAAGCTGGAAAATGGTCTGTTACTGGCAGAAAATTGAAGACAAATAGGTCTGATATGGTTCACATGTAAAGGGGATAGCAGGGCAAAGGCACTCAAAATCATAGAAACGCTGCTTTGAAGGCACCTCTGGTCCCAGCTCCTACTTGGGTTACTATTCCTGCTCACACCACAGCAGGTGTCCCATTTGAGTACTGGCATTTCCAGCCGATACTAAAAACCCCTGCGGATGGAAACGCCACGGGGCCTTGGGATAACCTGTTCCAGTGCCGTACTACCTCCCTAGGTAAGAAGTTTTTCCTAACATCCAATCTGAATCTCTCCAGCTGCAACTATTAGCTATGGAGGTTTCAGGGTTTGTTTTGTTTTACACTTGTGCTGCTACTAGAAAGAGTTTAACTTGCTCACCCTTGCAACTGCTCTTCAGGCAACTGGGGCCTGCTACTGGCCTGCCCCATCGCCTTCTCTTCCTCAGACTACGCAAGCCCAGCTTCTTCATCCTCCACTCACTGCCGGCCACCAACTGATGCTGAGCTTTGAAGCCTGGCAGTCCAGCCAATTTTCAACCTACCTAACAAGCAGTCTGTTCTTCCAAACCATTATGCTTCAAGTACCACAAGAAATGCTTTTGAAGCACACAGGGTTTGTTTACATGATCTCCTTTTCAAGTAGTGAGCAAAGAAAGTTTCATACAGGCTTGCTGTGTCTATCTCCTAAGCTAGCTTTCCTAAGTGGTGTGGTTTGTGGCTTTTCTGGGTTAATTCTCTGAGACACATCGAGCCTTCTGTGGATTTTCCATTTTGAGTAGTTTCTGTGCTTTGAAACAGCCAGCTGTTTGAAATCCTGACATGATTCTTCAGGTATTAGTAAGAAATAAATATAGAGAGAAGTGCACATACCTGTAACACACACACATGCATATAATATACACATAAGACTTGTCAACTATCACAACATGATAAATTCAACTTCTAACTAGAAATATGTTAATTTAGCTACTTATTACCTAAATTAGCAAACATAACAAATGCAAACATATAAAGTATTATATGGATGTAAAGTAACAAATTAGAAACATGTAGGAGAAATATTACATCTTCTTCAGATTACTCCTTCCTCCGACACGTACTTAACTCACACACTTGAAAAGGCATATAAAAAAATTCCAGTTCACACAACTCAAGATTAATGTATAGAAGATTGCAGTTGTTTTTTTAAATCCTACAATTTAACCTATTACTTTTTTTCCTCAGTCACTATTTTGAGTTCAAACTTGTACTGTTACCTTAGGCACTGAATATCATACACTATTTAACTGCTGGCTAAAGGTCTTTCTGCTGAAGCTATGTAAAGAACATTATGTGAAGGACTGCACAAAGATGAAGTGAGCAGAGAAGCAAAAGCTTCCTAATCGATCTTCAGGAACCCTGAGTTTTGGCAGTTAGCCCAACAGGGAAGGACAAAAGGAAGAAAAAATAAAGGGGGGGGTGTGGTGGTGTAAGGAGGGAAGAAAAAAAAATTGTTGGAGAACAGAGCATGGAACTGTAGTAACAGATTTAATAAAGTTTCCAAACAGCTGCATGACTTAACGTCTTGCAGAAGATAATAATGACTAATCATACACTAACAAACCTTCTTTGATTGCAAATTGCATCAAGAAACAAAAATGAGTTTATGCTTTTACTTTACAAGTTTATGCTTTATAACCCTCAAGTGTTCCGCCAGCCCTTTGCCTAGTACTCTGGCTTCTGCTCAAAGAAGAGGATGGCAATTAAACAGGGGGTTTTGTGCACGGTAAATCTTCTTGCAATAAAAGGAACCTCTATTGAGATCTGTTTTCAGACCAAACTCTTTTGGAAGACAGTCTTGGTCCTGAACTTCTCAATATCGTTTAAAACTAGACAAATACTACATTTTAGCCAAGGTAAAGAATTCCTTTTGCTAAATGTTAGATGAGGTAACTTTTTGGTGTTATCACATGCTCTAACATCTAATTATTCTAGAGTGTGTCAATAAGCATTTATTCCAATGTCCACAGGTAAAGTCTTGGCTGCACTAGAATCAATATTAAAGCTCCTGCTGACTTGAATATGAAAGGAATTCCATGTATATTAAATACATAAAGCTCTTGGAATAATTAGTTTATAATGGACTGATAATAATATAATCTGCTTTTTTCAGGCATGGGCCAATAATTATCCAAGGATTATTAGTATTTTGAATATTTATGTAATAAATATACATTCCCTTCATTCAAAAATGAACAAAAAGCCCTGCAATATGACAACTAGCAGTGATATCCTTCTTTTGTCTTATGGATAAAACAAAGGTCAAGCTGGTCTTTTTGAAAATATTTTTTCACATTTGTTTTGCCTCAGTTTTTTCCTAATAACATTATATAGTAAGTAGCCATCACATAACATACAGACTCCAGTCAAGAATTGCTCCCTATCTCCGTCCTCTTCCATTAAACTGCTAGCTTGAGTGACCTGAATCATCTCAGCCAGATAAGGCATCACTTAAGGAAAGAAAATTCCGGCCTCTTCCCCCAACCCAAAACTACTTAGATATTTAATGAATTAATCCAGAATCATGAGTTTTGCTGGAGATGCAAATAAAGAGGCAAGGATATAATGTTTCCAGCAGAAAGTGCTGTGGAGGTTTTATAGGCATTATATTATAGTTCATCCCAGTAAGAAAAGAATTATTTGTAGGTGCACTGCTCTACAGAAATGCAAGAGTATTGATAACCGCAAAAGCATACATATTTAAAGGATTGCAGACTGGATGTAAACGAGCCTCCTTGCCAAACACAGGCAGAATAAAACACCGAGAAGCTAATCTGATTCCACATCTGTACTTTGTAAGCAAGAAGAAAGCATATCAGGCATCACCGATGCACAAACTTTTAATGTTATTTTCTGAAGAAATATTCTTCAACAGAAGAATAATTCTTATTCTCTATTTTTCATTAGTCGTATATGGTCTGTTAACAGCTAGGCATTCGACTCTTATCTATACGCTATTACTGTATTAGATACAGTAGAAGAATCATTCAAAGTTCACCAGCCAGAATGAACAAGAAAGAACTAAAAATACCTGCTGCATGCAGAGCAAAAGAACAGCTGTTTATACCCCTGTTTTTCTTCACTTTGAATGATTTACAATTCATTTACATTTACAATACAGTCTCTAAATGCCCAAGTAGTATCTGGGACTGTGATGACATGAAGAAGCCATAACAAAATGTATAACTATTCAAACTATTTTTTTAATTCCTAAGGGGGAAGGGACGGAGGGAGAATGAGTGGAAAGGAGAGGACAGAAGTAGAGAAAGGAGGGGAGAGGAAAAGCAAAAAAAAAGAAAAAACCAGCATTCTGAATGAATCACTCCCCCTGCCTTTTCTAGGATTGGCAGGTAGTAAACAGCTCCATGATCAATAGGATCAAGGGCAGACAATAGATATAATCAGCCTAAATACCTGACTTTCACCCATCAACAGCGTAAGACTATTAGGATTTCCTCATCTTCCTACAACAAAACCTCTTCTTCCACTTCCTCATCTTCCTATAACAAGGCCTCTCAACATTTTTCGTTTCTGCTCTATTCCAGACCATCAATCCCCTACATACTATTTCTAATGTTTCCTGTATCCTGTTTTCTCTTCCCCTGCAGAAGGGGGAAGTGTTTTACACATTGTGCACTCACAAGTCCCTCTATACAAAATGATGTGAATACGTATTGAAAACTGTCAAAGCTGAAACAAAGCCTAACAGTATACAGCAAGGGATCCATTTTCCAGGTGTATCTTGCAAAAGACCAGAACAGCAGGAGGTTCAGCCTTATTTAATAATGAACAAATAAAATGAGTACTCCTCAATGATAATGAAGCTCATAAAGGGACGGACTTTTGAAAGCTACTCATTCACGTTTTAACAAACACATGATTAAAACAGCTGGGATAGGAGGAATTGCAAATCTCCTTGGAAATGTGCAACTTAGTATACATGAAAAATGTCAGTACAAAAAGACACGATCTAAGATTTAATGCTGAGAGTAACCAGGAAGCGAGAACAAACTGAAAAGGGTTGCCCGGTTGGAGATATTTATATCTACTAAGAGATAACAAAGTTATTTGTTTACTTTATAAAGAAAAAAACCCAACATATTTTTAAAATCTTATGTGTTTGGTAGGTTGGGAAGAAAAAAGTTACAAAATATTTTCAATTATGTTGTCTTTCCAATTCTTCTGCTACTCAAAATAAGTTTGGGTTTGTTTGTTGGGTTTTTTTTTTCCTACAGGAAACTGATTTAACAAAGCTTTGAAAAAATTTAACTGAATCATTAAAAGTAAAAAACACAAACAGAAATTATAACTAAAAATAGTATCTATGGTAACAAAAGAAACTCAAGTGAATGTGAAAAAGGTCACATATAAATGCTCAAACCCAGCACTTCCAATTTGTTTTCAATTTTATTACGACAGCACTTACAAGCTACATCCAAAATTAGCTTTGTTAGTACTAGAGACCACACACATACCCACACAGTATCAGTCAGTCTGTCTTGAAAGACTGTACGTACCGAGCGAGGTAGGAATGAACTGGGCAACAGAGCAGTATTACCCCAATTTTCCAGACTGTGCATGGCACAGAGTCATTACAAGTGCAAGAAGATAACTTCAACAAAACCATGAAACGAACCTGGATCTCTTTCCATCCCAGTTAAAATACTAGGTATGGCTCCCTGTATGCTTGTGATTCATGTCCTTTATAGAAAAATTCCTTAAAATCTGACCCATTTGAAAATTTCACTTCTTGATCTTAAGTCAGACTTTGTTGAAAACCAAGGCTTAATTTTATTATCCCCTTTTCTTTATGGCTCCTTCAGTTTATATTGTGCAGCACTTGTTAAGAGCAGATACTAGCAAACATTTGGGAAAAAGATTATCCATGGACCATGTGGAATTCAGTCTGAATAAATAGACTCTATGGATACGGTATGTGTTAAACAGCTACATCTCATTTTAGATATTATTCATAATGAAAAATATAATCCAGTGCTGATCACATATTGGGGGGTGGGGGGGTTGGTATGGGATAAAAACACTACACTAATCTTTCAAAATACCAGTCCTGAAAGGCTTTGTTTTGCTTTTTCCATTGTTTTGCTATTTGTGCGGATTTTATTTTTTTAGTTCTTCATACAGCAGAGAGCTATAACAATTCAAATTTTTATGAAGACTGTCAGGCATATTTCAAGTTCTGAGAAGAAAGTGTTGTTCAAGACAATTTTGAAACTCATTACTGCTTAGCTACATGAAAATATAACTCTAACCTTTTCAGTCACAAAATTACAGTGATGAAGTTGTGTAAGAGTAGACACAAAAGAAAACCAAAGGGTTTGAGGATTTTGTACACTACAATTGGAAGGTGTGACTGCAGCACACATAGGGCTAGTTTTAACTATAGAGCAAGAGTAATTATAACAATGAACCC